TATATAACCGTATCTATCACTAAATAACTATATATTATCAATACACTATATAACTATATATAACTTTATATAAATCTATATAACCGTATATATCACTATATAACTATATATAATCAATAACTCTATATAAATATATATAAATTTAAATAACCGTATATATCACTATATAACTATATATATTCAATAACACTATATATCTATATATAAATCTATTTAACCGTATATATCACTTACATATATTTTTATATAGTTAAGTAGAGTTATTGATTATATGTAGTTATATAATGATATATACCGTTAAATACCACTATATAAATCTTTATATTTAATAACTCTACATAACTATATAAAAACCTATATAACCGTATATAACACTATATATATAGATATAATCAATAACTCTACATAAATATATAGAAATCTATATAACCGTTTATAACTTAACATAACTCTATATAAATCTATATAATATATAGTTATTTAGTGATATATACGGTTATATAAATTCATATATTGTTATGTAGAGTTATTAATATTTATAGTTATATAAATATATATATGGTTATTTATGTAGAATTAAATGATTATATATAGTTATATAGTGTTATAAACGGTTATATAGATTTCTATATAGTTTTGTAGAGTTATTGATTATATCTATTTATATAGTGTTATATACGGTAATATAGGTTTATATATAGTTATGTAGTGTTATTAAATATATAGTGGTATATACGGTTAAATAGATTTTTATATAGTTATATAGTGTTATTGAATATATATAGTGATATATACGGTTATACAAATTTATGTATATTTATGTAGAGTTATTGATTATATATAGTTATATAGTGATATATACGGTTTTATAAATTTATATAAAGTTATAAATAGTTATATAGTGTTATTGATTATATATAGTCATATAGTGATATATACGGTTATATAAATTTATATATATTTATGTAGAGTTATGGAATATATATAGTTATTTAGTAATACATACGCTTACATTGTCTTATATATAGTTATGTAGAGTTATTGATTATATATAGTTATATAGTGATATCACTATATAACTATATATATTCAATTGGCTCAGTATAACTACATATAATTTCATATAAATCTATATAACCGTATATATCACTATATGACTATATATAATCAATAACTCTACATAACTATGTATAAATCTATATAACCGTATATATCACTATATAACTATATATAATCAATAACACTATATAACTGTATTGAAATCTATGTAACCGTATATATCGCTATATAACTATAGATAATCAATAACTCTACATAACTTTATAAAAATCTATATAACTGTATATAACACTATATAACTCTATATAGTTAATAACTCCATATAACTATATATAAATCTTTTTTACCGTATATAACACTAAATAACTGTATCTAATACATTAATTCTACATAACTATATATAAATCTATACACCCGTATATATCACTATAAAACTATATATATTCAATAACTCTACATAAAATTTAAAACATAAAACTCTACATATAAATTTATATAACCGTATATATAACTATATATAATCAATAACAATATATAACTATATAAAAATCTATATAACCGTATATATCATTATATGACTATTAATAATCAATAACTCTACATTACTATATATAAGTCTATATAACCTTATATATCACTATATGACTATATATAATCAATAACTCTACATAACTATATGTAACTCTATATAACCGTATATAACACTATATATCTTTATATAATCAAAATTTTAACATAAAACGGCTCATAAATCTATGCATATTGGCTCAGCTTGGTTTGGCTCGGCTTGGAATCGGATGTTAAGCAAGGTGTGCTCTCAAACTATTTTGAATTATCCCCGAAAATTTTTAACTGCGTGCGTACATATATAGTAATGTCTACCGTTGTTTTTATAATGAATTTATAAAATATATAAATATAATGAGCAAAATTTAACATAAAAGCGCTTATTAATCTATCCATATTGGCAGAGCTTGGCTTGTCTCGACTTGGAATTGGATGTTAAGCAAGGTATGGTTTCAAAATATTTTAATTTCTCCCCGAAAAATGTGAACAGCCTGCGTACATATATAGCAATGATTACTGTTGTTTTTATAATGAATTTATAAAATATATAAATATAACCAGCAATATTTTAACATAAAAGCGCTTATAATTCTATGCAAATTGGCTCAGTATAACTATATATAACTTCATATAAATCTATATTGAATTATATTTTTGTGATAAGTATTAGACATATTTTTAGTTTTTACACAATAATGACCTATTTCAAGAAGTTTTAATGAAATAATAAAAGTTCATTAGAGTTAAGTTACTAAAATCTGCTTCAATATGATTTTCAGCGCTCTTTATTTCTTTCATTGAAATGAGCGAAATGCTTTCATTGTTTTAATCAACTTATTTTCCTGGTTTTGAAATTAAAAATATTCTCATCATTATTACTATTACTATCATTGTTGTTGTTGCTACAGCTGCTGTTGTTGTTGTTATTATTGATGTAGTTACTACTACTATTATTATTGTTATTATTATTATTATTATTATTATTATTATTATTATTATTATTGTTATTATTATTATTATTATTATTATTAGCATTGTTTTACGTAAACAACCTAAATGTAAACAATCATGTAACTAGGTGGATATATTTCGCGTTTTATTAAATACATTTCATCCACATCTTCTCGTCTCGTCTCGGATAGTACAGAATCGTTTTGTGTTGAATTGAATCGTTTCGTTTCGTTTCGTTTCGAATACCGAATCACTGTGCAAATTGATCTTTGAGGCGCATATTATAACCAAGGTAAATTATAAACAAATAATAAATATATAATATATATTTATTATTATATATATTATTATTATATATATTATTAATATTTATATAAATATATACAGTATATATACACAAACATATGCACACATAGAGGAATAAAGAGAGAGAAAGAATGAAAGAGAGACAGAGAAAGAAAGAAAGAGAGAGAAAAGTTAAAAGGTTTTATAAAAAACTAACACACCATATTAAAGCAAAGATAAAAAAATCCATGGAAAACCATAACGCAGATATTGTCGGCCAATCTTTGTTCTTGGCGGACGGCAATCTGCGAAGGGTTCTAGAGCTACCGCCGACGCCCCCGCCGTTACCACCACTACCACCACCACCACCACCACCAGAGCAATCGTCATCAACACCACCACAGGCACTATCGTCTTCATCATTACCTATATCATCAGTATCTTTGCTATCTTTAAGACAACAACAACCACAGCAACAAACTGAAGCAGCTGCAGCAGCTGCAGCAGCTCATCAAGTGATCTCACCATCATCATCTTCATCATTATCGGAAAATGAAGCTCAAGCAACAGCCACAACACCACAGTCACCACCATATCTAGTATCACTATTACTATCACCATCGTCACAATCATCATCATCGCCACCATCATCATCACCATCGTCACAATCATCATCATCGCCACCATCATCATCTTTCTCATCACCGAACTTGATGATGACTGCTGCAAAAACAGCAACAGCCACTACTACTACTACTACAAAAGCAGCAGTAATAGCTTCTGCTAGAGCAGCTTCAGCTACAACAACGACAACGCCGACGACTGTGGCATTGAAATCAGCCATTAGAGTTAATTTTCAGCCAGATGAACATCAAGAGCCGCAGCAACTACAACATCAACAGCCACAACAGCCACAGTTACAACAGCCACAGCCACAACAGCCACAGCTACAACAACAACAACTACAGCAGCAGCCACAGCAGCAGCCACAACAGCTGCAGCAACAACATCAATTTTTTCTCAAACATTCAACGACAACATATAAAAAAATTATCATTCTAGCTATCAAAGATGCTTCATATTCTAAGTACGTTGTGAAAGGTAAAAGAATAATTTTTTCATTATTTCATTCATTCGTTCGTTCGTTCGTTCGTTCGTTCGTTCATTTATTCATTCATTCAGATTATTTGGAAAATCTCAACCAAGTTGACCATCAGGTTGTACTGCTGAATGTCATCCAACTGCCCTCTCTAAAGAATGCAAGTTAGTTGTATGTATGCAACATACATACAAACATACATACAAACAAACAAACATACATACACACACACACACAGGAAATGAGTATCTCACCCCAAACATACTGATAAACTTGTGGACAGATAGAATAGCCTCTAGAATAGCCACAAATACAAACAGACACACACCACACAAATACAAACATACACACACACACCCACTAATACTAACACACACCTTTAACCTTTTTTTTAGTAGTATGATTTTTTATTGGAGTGCCGACACTATGAATATATATATATATATATATATATATATATAATCTTATAAAATTTATATATATATATATAATTTTATAAAATTTATCCATGGCTCTGATACGGTGGATTCGATTAGTAGGTTCTGTCTAAAATCCAGTATTACACAATTCCAGTATTAC